TTTTCTCGGGCAGTTTTTTTCATATTATTTACCTTATTTCTTTGTTTTTTAAATCTTATTTTATCACTTTCTTTATTATTTTTTAGAACTGTTTTCCGTAACCTATCGCGAATTCTAATTTCCTTTCTTAATTGATTATTGAACCAAGGTTTGTCATTACATCTTATTGTTATTTTCTTTGTGGGTATACATTCCCTAGCTATTTCCAAAAATATTTTTGTAAATTCATCACACATATCATCGACGTCCTCAAAATTTCCTATCTTGTCACTCCAGTTAGTTTCGTCCAGATTGTTATTAAATTTAACCAAATCTATTTTGTCATATTGCCATATTTCTCTTTTGAATGTAGTTGATGTTCCCTTTGGGCAGTTAATGTATGCAATAGCTGCATCGTGGTCACTTATATCTTTTGAGATTTTTATAACATCAGAATAAGCGCATACAAGATTTTCACTCAATATAATAGGATCTAATAAAGTGCTTGAATTTTCCGTCACTCTAGTAGGCTTATCAATAACATTTAGAAAACAAAAGGAATTCAATATATCAACGAGTTTGTTATTGTTTTCACAAAATAAGTTAGAATTAAAGTCACCGACCAGCACGATATTTTCGTTTATCTGGGTGGCCAACTCGATTGCATATGTTAATCTGTGCCAATAATCTGGGTCAGTCCATTGTGCTCGATATGAGTTGCATAGTAAGAAAGACTTGCCTTTGGCATTTATTTCAACCCAAATAGTTTCGTCAATGGAATTTTCTAGTTCATGTTTTCGTACCATTCGAATCTCGTCTTTGGCATATATAAGTAGACCACCACCCGCATTTGTTCTATCTTTTCGCTGTATTATATTTGAAAAGCATTCTAGAAAAATAGTACAATCGTCAATCCGTTCGTCAAGATGTGTCTCGGTTAACAATAGAATATCAATATCTTCAGCAAAGTCATGGAGAAAGTCTATTTTGTTCCTTATACTTCGAATGTTAAGATTACAAAGTGAGATTGTATTGTCTAAAGTATTATTTAGTGAACTGCACGAACTTGATCTTTCTGGACCCGGATTAGTTTCAATGTTACCTACCATAAGTATGAAATTCAATACGAAGAGAAGAAATACTGCATTTACATTTGGATTTAAGCTTTGTAGACAGAGCAGGGCAGCAAAGAGGAACGAGCAACGCAGGTTAGTTAATAGTATATCTGTATATGAAGAAGGAGGGTGATTTACAAATCTTCTTGATTTCCTCGTATGAGCATGAAACATTCCTATGGCCGCTCTATATGTCTCTAGGCTGTTACCCATTCGGTAACAAGACTATGACTAAACATCTTGAGCGACCAAAGTTCTGTTTCATTTTCAGTGCAGTGATAAACAAGCCATCGTGTCCACAGTCGTAAAAAAGAATAAAGTATGAACAAAACGTAAGTAAGTGAACTATGTAAACTTTACAAGTAAATCTACAAAAAGTTGAAAGAAAATTTAATACCATTTGGTATGGAATCAGGTGTTTTTGATAAATGGGATATAATCATTTTAGTTAAGTTTTACTTACGATACAATAGTATGTGTATAACAGAAAAAAAGAGGTTATTTACAAAAGAAAATAGCAGGAGTTCAATCACATAAATTTACAAACTTACATATAAACATGCATACATTCATCCACATTGAATACATACTCACATTCAGACGTACAAACATACAAATACATAGATATATTAATCGTACTATTATATACAAATTTCAACACTCATATGGTATTGATGTAAGTCCAAAGCTCATTATGGAAATGGTTTTCGAAAGTTCGTGAAGATAGGCTATTCAGATAGAACTTCCGAGTGTTACCTTATCATTTAATAGACATTAATTTTCGTTGTATTAAATACTAGTACTAAAAATGTTGTATGATTATTCATGTATAACAATAGATACGATTATAACATAAATTTGAATAACATACTCTAGTCCACAAAAATAAATTAGGCAAGTTTGAAAAAACGAAAAAACAACAAAGTCTAACAATTATACTCGTATACCTATTACTGCGACAGGTTCTCTTTCAGTGCAGGAACATTTTTGATTTGACTATGAATATGTATATATATATATATACATGTACTGAAAGTATGTAATAGCGTCGTCGCTAAGGGAACAAGTTACATTTATATGAACAGCGCCTAGAGGCTTGAAAGCGTTGTCGAGCATTTTTGATTAAAACGTTTAAATATTTGAAGAAAGAAAGAAAAAAGAAAAAAAAAAAGAAAGAAATTTTATTCTAGAATGTAGTCTTTTAAAAATTCATTCTTTATTATCAATTTATGCGATTACGCAGTGAAGCGTGAAATTAAATCATGTAGTAAAATTCACCTGTTTAAATATATATGGAAACTTTTATATTAATTTGAGCAATTGCCATCAAGGGTGTGTTTGAATATTGAGTTTGATAATTACGACCAACTAAGAATTTAAGTCGGCTTTTGTTTTTGGTTGGTTTTATTTCATTTGTGACGTGTATTCAAAGAATTACATTTCGAATATATGCCCTTGATGGGGAGAAAAAAAAACTAATTAGGCACACAAAAATGTAACAGCCACTATGTTCCGTCAGTTACTTTGTTCCGGCGGAACTTTTCAACTAGTTATTTCGTTCCGATGGAACTTTCCAACTACGTAGTTGTTTTATTTCGAGTGCAGTCGAAAAGTTCCGGAAAAAAGTAGCTAGTTAAAAAGTCCCGGAACAATGTAGCTAGTTGAATAGTTCTGGCGGAACAGAACAACTAGTTACATCGTTCCGAATATACCATATTTCGTCCTTTTTGTAGAAAGAGGGGGAAGAATGAGTATCAGTATATATAAGAGCAAATCATTAATTTACAAGAATACCCAACGCACTGAAAGGGGTTTCTTTGGGGACAAATATGCAAAATTTAAGTTGTATTTCATACTCGCTCACATAAAACGGAATAGGTTGCATTATCATGCAAATTTAGTATTCATAGTACCCTCAAGAGAGGGAAGAATACCACCCTCCTCATGTGGTTCTTTGCATCAATTCTCCGAATGGAACTTTGTGACTGGTTGATAAGTTCCGTTGGAACTTTTGGGCTAGTTTGTTAGTTCCGGTTTTGACTTATTTGCCAAAGAGGAACTTTGTGGCTAGTTGATAAGTTCCTTTTGACTTTTGTAATCAGTATCTTGGTTTCCCTTTGAAAGGTTCAAATATAATATGTTGCGCTTTTACTTTGCATCAATTCTCCAAATGGAACTTTCTGCCTGGTTGATAAGTTCCGTTGGAACTTTAGGGCTAGTTTGTTAGTTCCGGTTTTGACTAATTTGGCAAAAAGGAACTTTCTAACTAGTTGATATGTTCCGTTGGAACTTTTCAACTAGTCACTTTGTTCCGGTGGAACTTTTAAACCAGAGGAAGAACAAAGTAACTAGTTAATAAGTTCCTCCGGAACTTTTCGGCTAGTTAGTTCTTTCCGCCCGGAACTTTCCAACGTCGGAACAAAAGAGCATTTACAAAAACAGCCCATTGCATTTTAAATGGACGAAATAATGAATCAAACATCATGCGTTTGTCTTTATGTTTTACAGTATGTATTTTTGAGCGATCTAGATATAACTGAAGATTTGTATCTAAATCCCTATCTTAATAGATATGAAGTTTTATATTAGTAACTTGTTTTAGAGTTTTAGTTACAGCTTCAAGTTGTATTTTGCTGTTAAGTAACACAGTTGTTTAATAAACAAACTATATTTGTTAAGTGTATCTGAATGGTGTCAATTTCACTTTGAAATATAAATTGCAATGAACAAATGTAGACATGAAATATAAAAGGTACTGAACAAATACAGACAAAAACAAAACAAACATGACAACATAAGTAAAGGGGGAAAAAACACAAACAAAGAGTTTACAGGACATATGATATGATATTATTTTACGACGCTCGATAGTTAATCGTGGTCCTTGACACCCTGATTATTCTCGTCCTGTACATCTTTGTTATTACCAGTACTATCATCAGGGTCATTGCTTCTCAGCAAGTCACGAATATCATCGTGGTTAAGAATTAACTGTTTCATGGAAGCCTCAGTCTTTTTAACATAAATGCGGCCATCATTTGTCCAGTAAGCATGTATGGAATGGCGGTATTTGAGATCAGCTAGCTCTTTGACCAGGTTGGTTCTATGGGTTGTAAGATTTTCAGTGATGAAAATTTTGCTCGGATCACCCTTTAAACCTTTTTTTGCACTGAACACTTTTTCGCGATTTCTATAAGAAATGAAGCGCACGATGACTTGTGATTTACCGTTTCGGACTTTACCGATGACATGTGATCTGCTAATGTCTGATTTTTGGATTCCTAGATCAAGCTTTTTGTTACAAACATCTAATATAAGGTCGTCGGTATTAACCGGATGCATTACTTTACCATATCTGTCAACCGGGACCTGAATATTATGAAATCGAAGGCTGGTTCTACGGGAATACTGTTCTTGATTTTCAAGACGATTTTCAAGAAGACCGATTTTCTGGTATAGATCGCCAATCTCTGAGTTGTAATCATCTAGTCGGTGTAAATTTTCAACCACAATTTTGTTTAAGGATAGATGGTTTGCGGCTTGTACTGCTATCATTTGTCTTTGTTCTGCAATTTTTTCTTCTTGTTTTTTAATTGTTTCAGTCATAGGTGCAATGTGCTCTTCTACAGTGGATTTGACCAAAGCCTGAATTGTTTTGTTTAAGGAAAGTTCTATTGACTCACATAGTTTTAAATGGACTAACAAAACAACAACACCACGATAACTATGAATAAGTATAAAACTAATATTAACAATTAATAACAATAATGTTACTATTACTACTTAAAATAATTTTTATCATTACTCTTTTAATTTCCTAATGAAATAACTATATATAACAATCACTGATCATGAAAAATCCTCGGATAATTTCAGGGTTTTTGCCGAATCGATTCTAAAATTAACTTAAGTTTTTGTTTATCATTTCAACTTTCGTTTTCGGAAAATCCACTTTTCAGAGAAACACAATACATGCCTGTAAGTTCACTTTATTGAAAAACAATAATTTGGTTAATGGTTCTTTAAAATGTACAAATGATGTATATAATTCAATAGGTTCGTAAAATTTCATGGCTGGGCCGCTCTCTTTTGTCACTTATATTGTACGAAACATAGTGATAGGTAAAATATAACCGTAAAAGTAAAATAACAAAAATACCAAACTCCAAGGAAAATTCAAAACGGAAAGTCCCTTATCAAATGGCAAAATCAAAAGCTCAAACACATCAATCGAATGGAAAACAACTGTATTTTTGTTTGTTTGTATTGTTGAATTTAGGTGTATTCTGCCACCTCATATATGATTTAAATTCTAAAATTAAACCTTGGTATTTAAGAAAGAAGTAAAGTTGGTATCTATGTATTGGAATTATTTCAAGTTCATGAAAATACTTCCTTGTTTGTTTAAAATTAACTGAACATACTATAATCTCAAATGGGATTAACCACACTCTTATTATATACGCTTGTAACCGGAGAGCATAATTCTACTTGCAAAATCGTATGTCTCCACCGGGACTCGAACCCGGGACCTCTGTGTTACAAGGCAGCGCGTATACCGACTGAGCTAAAGAAGTACTTCCTTAGCTCAACTGCTTACGGCTGACTAAGTATCTACTAATGAAGGGAATCAATCCCGTCACACTTCCCCCACCTCAAGAGTCATCGTACCATTATGACTCTCACACACATACCCTAGCTAGAAATCCTCTCTAACTACCATGGGTTTTTATTGTTGGGCGCCAATGTAACCGGAGAGCACGATTCTACTTGCAAAATCGTATGTCTCCACCGGGACTCGAACCCGGGACCTCTGTGTTACAAGGCAGCGCGTATACCGCAGCTCAGTCGGTATACGCGCTGCCTTGTAACACAGAGGTCCCGGGTTCGAGTCCCGGTGGAGACATACGATTTTGTAAGTAGAATCATGCTCTCCGGTTACACTCTTCATAGAAAAGGAGTTGACTGCAAACCTCAAAGTTTATCCTTAAAGATAGATACCACGATAAAGAATAGAGAATGGAAACGGGGAATGTGTCAAAGAGACAACAACCCGATCAAAAGTATGCATACATCCCTATTCATTATGAAGAGCCACTTTATTATTATAGTGGAGTTCTACATTATTATAAGCAAGCTTTAAAACACTCCATAGTATCCAAGAGTTATTTGTCATATGTAATTTATCATCCCCGAAGTTAACATTGATTGAGGACGATTTAGAGTTTGACTTTTTATACTATAGATACTTACAGTTCTAGTTCTATATGTCATTCTAATATGAGGCTCTTCTTTCGCTTTGTTTACAAAGCCATGTTCTAATTCCACTAGAGTGCATGAGGTTACAATCAAAATTGCAACATCAATTGTATTTTGAACCTCGCTGGAGATCACCATGGACATTTTTGTTGGTGTTGCTCGCTAGTAAATTAGATAAAATCATGCTAAAAGTAATTTACATGTTTAATTCATTTTTTATTTAATGGCGAAACAGTTGGTTTTCTAGAACGTGTGTGCTTCATCACATCAAAATGATTCTTTCGAACGTGTCTTACAGGCCCGCTTCGAAGTATAAAAGTTCAGAATTTTCCTATTCAAATCGAAATAATTCTTTCATGCATGCTCTGTGCTCATTTTAATATCGGTAGACATTATATTTGTCAATATTTTACATCCCGCTAACTCTCGGTATAAAGATACTTGCAAATATAACGCCTATATATGATACCGCAAATTTGCAGATCTAACATTGTTGGGCTAAATTTGAGACGAAGTATATGTTTATACCCATGTTAAAATTAGCATAGAGCATGGCATGAAAGAACTATTTCTTTTTTTTTGTGGGTGTTTTATTGAGTTGGTGTCCCATTGGCATGTGCCACTAAACTCTATATAAATATATGAGATATGCACATTTATTCTATCTTTAAAATATACAATGTCAGTTATTCGTTTGTTAAATAATTATTCTTGGCTATGTAATTCTAATCCTTTAATATGTGTTATTGTTGATATAACTGTTTTAAACACAACTGTATTTATTTCAAAATTAACGTCAAACAGATTGGATAACAATTTATGCCTGAAATCTACTTTCAGTATATAGGTAATCTACTTAATACCAATCATCTCAAATATGTCCGAATGTGATGTAGATTCGAGTGTCAACGGTATTATACAGACCAAAACAGATGAACAAGCCGAACCCGAAATCGGTGAGGAAACAAGATCAGAAAATAAATCGGAAACCACACCAGCTGTCGACACAGGAAATATATCGGAAACCATACCAGTTGTCGACACAGATAATATATCGGAAACCAGACCAGTTGTCGACACAGAAAATGTATCGGAGACCAGACAAGTTGTCGACAAAGAAAATATATCGGAAACCATTACAGTTGTTGAAACTGAAAATATATCGGAAATCACAATAATTGCTGATACAGAAAATACATCAGAACACAATAAGATGGAAACCGAACCGTATGATATCATCGCGAATAAATCTCAAGAAAAGTCGAATAAAACCGAAGCTATTTGTGATGAGGCTCAAAGCGAGGATTCCCCAACGAAACAGAAAACAGTTGACGACAACAAAGAACAGAAGCCATTGATAGATAGAAAAAATAGATTTAAAGGTAATTCATCAACGGAAAGTAGTGCAATTGCATCCATGGATGATAATAATTTATCAGAAAAAGATGCCAATGACTTGTCAGTGAATAACGAAGTAGATGACAAAGAACAAAAATCCACAGTAGATAGAAGGAACAGGTTCAAAGGGAATGTGCGGGATATAAACAATGACTTTGAACCAGAGTACGACTGCAATTATTTATCAGAAACAGAAATTGAATTAAAACAAAAGGCTTTAAAACAATATGAATTCTTTTGGAGATCACATTCTCCCTTCAGTCAATGGTATTTAAGTGAATTCACAGTCGATGGGGACTCGTTTAATTCTGCAGAACAGTACATGATGTATAGCAAAGCAAGTAAGTCTAACTATATATATACATCTATATCATGTATATACACTCTCGTATCTTGTATACACATACAAGAGGATTGTATTCTCGTATCGTGTATACACATACAAGAGGATTGCATTCTCGTATCGTGTATACACATACAAGTGGATTGTATTCTCGTATCGTCGTATATACACATACAAGAGGATTGTATTCCCGTATCGTGTATACACATACAAGAAGATTGTCAGTACAAATAGATTATATTTTTATTACAAAGTATAACTATGTCTATGGCTCTGCTATTATTGTTTTTTTTTTAACAATTTGTAGTTTATACATATACTGGATATCATTAGATGTAACAAACTCAAAGGACAATTTTGCAATCGGACGATTGTTTGCTTAAGGTCCAGTGGCAAATATTTCATGTATATAAGGACGAGAACAGTTAACAATAAATCAAAAAGGTAAGATCTGCAAAGTTGGAAGACTGGGATGAAGGGCAGACTATTCAAAATTCCACTGGAAAAGGTTTGTTGAATAGGGGCAGAATTGTTTATGCAACATGCCACCTATAGACATCAAAAAAGTTGTTGCAATGGTTCTCTAACCTGTAGAGAGCGTGACACTCACCATACACGAGGCAGCACATTTAATGTCACAATTCTGACGTGGCTGTGTATTTATACATCCTGCAGTATGCAACGCCCCACTTTAGCATGGGCTATACGGCCGCATTGGAGAAGTATAGGGATGATCATAATTCTATACTGCAATATAACCCTTGGGATTGAATAAAAATATATACGGTGTAAACGCCAGTGAGACACAAACAGCCAAAAAGACATCTAGAGGGTGTCTTCACAAAATAGCATGCTTAATCGTCCCTAGCCGATAAAAAGTTGTGAATTTAACAGATACTATGCCAAATCTACCATCAATACCAAGTTCTTTGAATAACAAAACACACTAACATATGATTCTTTTAAGGTGCATTTCACAATTCCCATATTTATTTTCGATGAATGATCGAGACTGTAATATTATCTTGCACCACTCTATCGAAACACACAATCTCCTTTACACTGAAAACCTAAATTAGTCAATTTGACCAATTTAATTGGTCATTTTGACTGTCCTCTAGATGACAATGCACTTTAATCATTTTGACTATGCTCTTAGTCGTTTGACTAGATGGTTAGTCACATTTGACTGAGTAGGGTGGTAATTATGACTATGTTAGGAAGTCAAAATGACTATATGTTATACTCGTTATGACGAATTGGATGGTTCAATTGACTATGCACATTTGTCAGTTTGACAATTGAATGCAGTCCATATGACTTATTGAAATGGTCGAAAGTGACCATGTTGGTTAGTCGACATGATTACTGTGAATAGTCACGACTGTTAGACTGTTATTTTAATTTGTGTTGTGTTTTTTGTTCTACCATTTTACTTTGTGTGTGTTTCTATCCGTTCTGTACTTTTGTGTTTCATTTCTTCTGTTATTCTACTTTATGTTGTTTCTCTTCCATAGGATTGACAAATGCATCTGGAATATAATATCATAAAAATACCACAGCAGCAATACTAACAATGACAACAGTATAGGACCACAAAGTGCTCAATGTTCAAAACCTTCCTATATCTTAAGTTTCCATGTGTTACCATTACTCAGTGACATATATTTAAAGTCTAAAAATCAAATAAAGAAAATGTATTTATTATAAACTCATTGTTACATACATTATGATATCCCAACTTAAATATATATTTTATACATTTTCAGTATGTCAAAATTTGAAGTGTTTATTTAAGATATTTTGTCGGTATCAACTCTGCATGTGTCAGTGTAATATTCTCTCTGGTCAAAAATCTCTCAGCTGTGCTCATACAAATAGCAATGTCTTCATTTGCTGAAAAATATAATTATATCATTTTAGAAGCTAAAATATAACAATAAACAAGTATATCAGTCATGTTAAAAGTTAAAAGAAAAATACAAATTTTAAAATCTTTGATCTAGTGATGTAGTCACTCATCTTATACCATTATTTTGTAATGTAAGCACCGGGATCTTGACAGCCACCCATCCTATATCACAACATTGTAATGTAAGCACCAGGATCTTGACAGCCACCCATCTTATACCACAACATTGTAATGTAAGCACCAGGATCTTGACAGCCACCCATCTTATACCACAACATTGTAATGTAAGCACCGGGATCTTGACAGCCACCCATCTTATACCACAACATTGTGATGTAAGCACCAGGATCTTGACAGCCACCCATCTTATAACACAACATTGTAATGTAAGCACCAGGATCTTGACAGCCACCCATCCTATATCACAGCATTGTAATGTAAGCACCAGGATCTTGACAGCCCCCCATAGGTTTTTTTTTTTAATTTATTGTTGTGAATATCGATTGCAGTGTTTATTTTTAACAGTTTTTTGTCAGATGAAAAAAAGATATCGCTAAATACCCTTTTCAATCGACAATACGTTGAATGTGTATCAAAATTGATATCCCGTATACATATGTCCCCCTTTTTTTATTGTCATTATGTCAACATGTGCCGATATTACATTAGTTCCACTTCTTTTTCTTAAATTTAATTTTTGTAAGTTAGAATTAAAACATATATACATGATACTTACTTTAAACAATTGGTTTAATTGACAAAATGACAGTTTCATGCCTCCTGGTTTGTTTACATCTACACGATCTAGGGAACAAAGGGAACGCGAAAGAGTGCGCGTGAAAACCGATACTCTACACCACGTGGTGCTGTGACCACTAACATAGTCAAATTGACCGTGCAGGTAGTCACAATGACTAGATTAGTAGTCATATATGCTGTTGACTACCTTTCGGCTAATATTTGACTAACTGAATAGTCATAGTGACTAATTTAAATTTTCAGTGTACTTAATATGCATTAAAATGTGTTAACCCAAATCTCTTATGGTTGACATCTGAAGTAGTTAAATAATAAAAAAATCATGTGCTTAGCTCTGAAATAAACAACTGAGACAATTTAACTAATCCTATTTTACAGTGCTGTTTGAAGATGAAGACAGTGCTTATGACGTGCTTAGAGAACCGGATCCTCGCGAGCAAAAGAAATTTGGGAGGCTTGTTAGAAACTTTAATAAAGAATTATGGGAAGCAAATTGTTCAGCGATTGTTGAACGTGGTAATAAAGCAAAGGTAAGATATTAAAAGCTTCAGTGACACGTGACACATATTGCAACTGAAAGAAGTGAATATAAAAAGGCAAGTAGCCAAATTTACTGGAATTTGTGTGAAACATCTAGAGCTTATAAAGAAATTGTGACTACATAATTATTGTATCTTCTCTGGTTAATGTACTTACTAACTAGAATTGTCATGTTTTATATTACAAAAAGGAGTATTTAACAAAACATAATATGAACTCGATCTGAATAATGTATGTTTAGTTTTACAAACTTTTGCTTTGAGAGTGTTGGAAATTGCTTTATATACAATAAAGAAATACATTGACTTAATTCATATTCTTAAAATGAATGCTCACTAATTTGATCCTATGATTTTCCTTTGAAGTTTTCTCAAGATGAATACCTTAAAAGAATACTCCTAGATACTTATCCCAAAACTCTTGTCGAAGCAAGTCCATATGACTCAATTTGGGGTATTGGACTTGAAGAAAATGACCCCATGGCATGGGATTGTGAAACATGGAGAGGGCAAAATTTACTTGGAAAGGCATTGACTAAAGTGAGAGATGAATTGAAACAAGAAGAAAAGAAAGGAGAAAATCAAAGTGAAGAATATCAAAACACAACGACCGAGAGAGGCAATAACCCAGAAAAAGATATAACAGATACAGTCGATGAATCTATATTAAATCAGAATCCCAACTTTGAAGAGGAAAATGCAAATTTAGTTAAAGGCGAGAAAACAGTAGAATTTACCAAAAATTCAGAAGCTCTTCCTGTCGATATCCGTGCCAGTGTTGAAAACAATGCAAAAATGGAGGACACAGCAGTCGAGAATCCAGCAGATAATAGTAAGACAATCAAAACAAGTACAGAGGATAGCCAAACTCCTGAAACTATTATCTCAGAGGCAGATAATAGTGAGACAAGCAAAACAAGTACAGAGGATAGCCAAACTCCTGAAACTATTACCTCAGAGGCAGATAATACAGATAATTCTAGTCCAAATCTAGTGGGCATTTCTGAAGTATCAGAAATAACACATATGTAAAAACTATAAAATAAGATGACACAGTGACTTAAAAACCAGTTGTTTTGTAATCAACCAATGAACTGCCAAGATCATAATTACTAAAAAAATATATTATGTCACTTGAAAAAGGATATCAAATGATTTTATAAACATGCAATATCATTCTTTAAAAAAGCCTTCTACCATTGGAATAATTAAGACCTGGACTACCGCGGGTCTCGCAATGGTTACTTTATTTTGGGCAGTATTAAAGAACTTGCATTTTACAGAAATATAGATCGACAATCTGTTGATTTAAAGAGGTCATTTTACATAATTATTTGTCCCAAATAGATAACCAGGAATTATAAAGTATGTCATATATATGCATTTCTCAGTAGATGGAGCAGTATTTTATAATTCAAATTTTAAAGATTTTTAGTTACATGTTTTTATGTATATATCAAATAATATTTTACATAAGCTATTTTTTTTTAGATATTTTATTTACCAGATATTCTTTTACTGTGTACCATTGTTATTTATTTTTTTGTCGGAAAATTTTACCATTTTTTCTGTTGTGATTATAATATCTATATTTACCATGCATCGCATGGTGTTATTCATGTATATACTAAATAAATTGTAATGACTATTTCTAATCATTTCCTTTTTACTACAAGTAAAATGATCTGTTTCTACCGTGTTAATGATGGTTATGTTATTGTTACAATAACGTTATTTGTTTTCCAACATTCTAAAGAAAAATGACATCAGATGACGTGGAATAGAGATGAGAATGGGTCGGAAAAATTTCCATTACACTTCTTTCTTTAACAATTTTTCACACTCAAAATCTAATCTAAGGCATTCCCATTGTCAAATAGAGGAGCACGAAAAAGACATTCCCATTGTCAAATAGAAGAGCATGCGAAAGACATTCTCATTTTCAAATAGAAGAGCACACGAAAGACATTCTCACTGTCAAATAAAGGTGCATGCAGCAGTCTTTCAAATTCTCAAATCAATAGCTACATCAATAAAGTTTTAATTTATCTGATGAAGTTAACTTAAATGGTAAAAGGTACATAATTGTGAGATCTTTCAGATTATATGAGATTCTGTGTAAACTAGATCATGTGTCATGATATAGGTAATTTTATACTTTCAAAGCTAAATAAATTAAGTTTCTAGCAAATGCGTCTTAAATTTTAAACCTGGTACCTTTTGTTAGCTATTATTCGTATGTTTCTCTGTCCTATATGTTCTCCCATTTATTTGTATTGTAGTCCTGTCATGTAATGTGTCATTTTAATGTTATATTTAACATTGCCATAAAAGCGGGAGGTTTGGCTAGCCACAAAACCAGGTTCAACCCACCATTGTTTTCTTAAAATGTCCTGTACCAAGTCAGGAAAATGGTCATTGATATAATATAGTTCGTTTCTGTGTGTGTCACATTTTAATGTTGTGTTTCTGTTGTGTCGTAGTTCTCTTATATTTGATGTGTTTCCCTTAGTTTTAGTTTGTAACCCGGATTTGTTTTTTTCTCAATAGATTTATGAATTTCGAACAGCGGTATACTACTGTTGCCTTTATTTGAAATATAAGCTTAGGTTCAAAGGATGAAGACATAATCTTTCAATCAGTTTAATTGAGGTCTGAAGCTGGTATGTCAGTAACTGTTAGTAGTCCTTTGTTAATTTATGTATCATTGTCATTTTGCTTAGTTTCTTCTGTTACCTATTCTAACATCGGACTCGGACTTCTTTTAAACTGAGTTTTACTGTGCGTATTGCTGTGTGTTTGTGTATTCTACAGTAATTATTCAGTGTGACGTCCATTTTCGCTGAACTAGTACACAATTTTGTTTAGAGGCCAACTGAAGCCCGCCTCCGGGTGCGGGATTTAATCGCTGTGTTGAAGACTCATTGGTGGCCTTGGGCTGTTTTTTGCTCTTTGGTCGGGTTGCTGTCTCTTTGACACGTTCCCCGTTTCCATTCTCAATTTTATTAGGTGTAAACACAAATTGCAAAAAGCTAAAATAGTTTTAAATTAAATTATCCATTTCTTGAAACCCTGTCCTATGAATTTTGTGTAAAATCATATGTAATTGCCACTGACATTCTGTTTAGCTGATATTAGTTGGAGTGTTCAGGATATATAAATACACATCCACGTCTGGTCTTAATTAAATATGATGTATCGTGTTAGGAGAGTGCCGGAACGTTAAAGAACCCTTGCAACAACTCTCTGTGAGGTCCGTTTGTGGATTGTTGAAAGGCAATTGTTTTGACCCTATCCGCATACCCTCTATTTCCGAAAGATAGTCAAAATTCCCCGCCCTTCACTACATTAAACCCACTTTGTAGATTCCAAAAATAAATGTATTGTTAATTTGTTCTCATCCTGAATATTCGTGAAATATTAATGATTACTGTTACGTATAACAAACAACAATCAATCTATTATTCAATTATTCTTGTGGACGTCAAATCTCAAAATGCCAGGTGACGACGACCTCACCCTGACCCTTAAGGCCTAGAGGATGCACTAACAAGACAAAAAAAAAAGGAAATAGTAACAAACGAGGCAACGACTTAAGACATAACAACACAAAAACTACAACTTTAGACAATATAATTACTAAAGCACGGAGTGAACACAGTTGTGAAAGCTGGTAATGTGTCAAATTTAATTCGGTAAGGGTCAAAATCGTAAAAGGTAACTGTTTGGGGAAAGGGATACATATCTATTGTGTATGCCCCCCCAAAAAAACAAAATAAACAAACAAACAAACCAAAAAACAAACAAAAAAAAAAAAAAAAAAAAAAACATAAAAAAAAAAAAAAAAAAAAAAAATAAAAATGCTGTAGTTTTTTAAGTCGGCTTCGGTTCTAGGTGTCAACATAGAACATAAATAGAAAAATCGAGAAGTTGCATGATTCGGTACTGCTACGAAAAACAAGAACAAAAGAGGGGTTTTGAAAGATTTAAGGACAGCAAATGCCCAGATTTTGTTGCTGCTGTTAATCAGTTCCATGTATACAAGGCCAACAAAAAGTTTAACGTTCATATCGATCAACGTGTTAACGTTTGGGAAGAGGGTCCATGTATCTTATTTACAATTTCGAGGTTCACCAACAGCCAGCAAATTAAAAATGTATGCTCACAATGTCGCTAAGTATAATATAGACTTTCACGGTTAAAGTTATACGAAAAACCCAGTTGTGTCATTGTTCCAACTACAACGATGGTCAACGTGGTTGATTGATTAACTGCTTGTTGATTGCTCAACATCCAGTGGTAAATTTTTAATGCATATTCATTACGAAAAACAAATAAACAATAAATCCAGTTTGGATGGTTTGTAAAGTAGAACAACCGGTATGCCACTGGAAAAGATGGTATACTGGGTAGGGGAGCAACTTTTGCATTGCAACATGCCACCTTTGGACTCCCTAGAATTGTTGCAAGGGACCTTAAACGTGCACAGAGCATTTACCTTCTCCATTCACGCCGCATGATAAGAAACGTTCCTATTCCGACTGGACATAGTTCAGTGCGTCTTTATTGATCTAGCACACCCAAATGGACGCCCCTTTTTAACATGCGTTTAATGTTGGATGGTAGAAGACTTTAACTGGACGTAACATATTTCAGCAAACGTACGTATATATAAGCATATTATACTTTTTCGTCATACTGGTGGGGTTTAACTGATGTACGTATAACTGCAGTTAATGGCATCACACGATGGAAGATTGATTTTTTTTAATTTCGCAAGAATAAGAAATCATTGATCGATTTTTTTTGGGGTGTTTATTCGCAATTTATCTCGAAAGTGGGCAACTCTGGAACGTATCTCGTGCAGAAGTTTCCGCTTAGTGAAGAAATCAGCCGTTCAAAAATCGGGATGGTGTCCGTACCGTAAATAATAACAGTTCATAAATAATTCAGACGGCTCGAAAAAACGGTAAAACATCTGTTTAAGGATGTAGTTTATAACAGTGCAACGATTTGTTTACATTGACCTGCAACCTTTTTTATAACCCAAAATAGTATTGAGAACAAGAACAGTTTGGGGCTCCTGATTAGATGATGCAGGGTTGGAATTATATTTTATATGAAAGCGCTTCGGACGCAATTCATTTATAAAGTATTACTTTCATTTATCCATTTAGGTTTAAAAATTCCGGAATACTAAATCTATATCTTACATAGTATAGAAAATATTTTCACTGTATAAACTAAGGAGCCATTCAAAATTTCCTTTTCCATTAAGTACATAATTTGGAAGCTTCTACAACAACAACATTTTAGGTCAAATTTTGCCGCATGACCTTGAATATACTTTTCGCTGTAATAAAATGCTGACATCTCTAGTAACAGGATCAGCTGCCGTCTTATATTTTGTTTCTTCAAGAAATAAGATTTGAACACTACAAGTACCTTAAGAAGAATGCATTACAAATATTTCCGCTCTTGTGACCTTTAACGCTCTTATTCAATCCGGACGGGGCTGCGTATTTATACATCCCGTGCAGCCAAAAGTGACGCCGTCCTAACCATGAGTTTACCTGCCGGGCGGGAGAAGTCGAGGAAACCACATTTCATGATAAACCCTAGTATTTATGGGGAGATAACGCGAAGGTTTTTCGTATTGACAGTCATTTTGGTAAGCCATGATATGGCCCGTTCATCAACTTGATGACATCTACAAGATTATCATTTGAAAAGATCTAGAGAAAATGTTAATTGGCAACATATAGCTGATGCGTTTGCAAATAAACTGAACATTAACGACATACGTTGTTTTTGAAACGGAATCAAGACTGGAAAACCAAAAAAACCTTTCCACTTTAACAAACGAATTGGTCCATCTGGGTCGCTCTACATTGCACCGGTATGGCGTGATCATTTAATCACTTGATAAACTCTGCTACTAATAGATATAAGAAGATGTGGTATGAGTGCCAATGAGACAACTCTCCATCCAAGTCACAATTTGAAAAAGTAAACCATTATAGGTCAAAGTACGGTCTTCAAAACGGAGCCGTGGCTCACACCGAACAGCAAACTATTAAGGGCCCCAAAAATGACTATTGTAAAACCATTCAAACGGGAAAACCAACGGTCTTATCTATATAAAAAACGAGAAACGAGAAACACTTATGAACCACATCTACAAACGACAACTACTGAACATCAGATTCCTGACTTAGGACAGGTGCAAACAAATACAGCGGGTTTAAACGTTTTAATAGGTACCAACCTTCACCCTTATCTGAAACAATAGTGTAACATCACAACATAGTAAGACCCATTATAAAATATCAATTGAAATGGCTTAACTCAATCAAAAGACATATTAACACAAGTTAACATACACTGAACGAATAAATTCGATCTATGATACAATATAAATACAAAATCAATAAAATAAAATAAGGGGTGAATAAATAAAGGCAACTGTAGTATACCGCTGTGAGATGTTAAACAATTAAAAAAAAACCAATAACTAACAATACATTCAGAGGTGCAAACCATTGTTAAAAAAATCACTAACTGGCGGAAAAGCTACGAACAGAGATGGTTTTGTTGCAGGACATTTGAAATATGCACCTCACAGGCTACCTGTATTGTTGTTAATGCTT